AACTGTCAAAACTAGGCTGTTCTCTTTCCCTCCATCTGGCTAACTCCGCCCCTCTTTTCCAAACAAATCCTGGCTGTTGCTGGGCTGGCTCAGGCCTAGGCCACTCCCCCTCTCTGAGCTGGAGTTTTCCTAAACTAAGATGGCTCCAGCAGCTCTCTGCCAGGCCTTCTAAGCTGGAACTACCTAGCCTGTCTCTTACTGGGCCCTGCCACCCTAGCTGGCAAGGTAAGGGATCTTTACAGGGAGTAGTATTAATACTAAAATACTACTACTACTACTACTGATGATGATGATGATGATGATGATGATGATGATGATAACAACACAGAAAACTACTCTGGGACTTCTGAGTTCAGACTGACAGAGTTTTGGAGCACAATACTCCTGAACTCACAATCATGGGGAAATAAACAAAGTATGGATCATCAATGTTGCAATTCCAGGTGACAGCAAAATTGACGAGAAGCAACTGGAAAAGCTTACCCAATACGATAATTTAAAGATCGAACTGCAAAGACTCTGGCACAAGCCAGTCAAGGTGGTCCCTGTGGTGATCGACACACTGAGTGCAGTGCTTAAAGACTTTGGCTTGCACTTGAAAACAATCGCTACTGACAAAATTACCTCCTGTCAGCTGCAGAAGGCCACCCTACTCGATCTGCATGCATTGTTCACTGACACGTCGCACAGTCCTATGACCTCATCACATTGGATAATGAATCTACTTTAAATCCGGTTGCTGCCTCTTGCAGAATTCTGGGGTTTGTAGTTTAGGAAAGAGCCTTTAACAGCCTCACTAAACTACAAAATGCTGCCTCCTGCAGAAACCATATTTAAAGTGGATTAATTCTCTAGTGTGATGAAGTACATAAGTACTTCATCAGACTAGAGAATGGATCCGCTTTAAGTCCGGTTGGACACTTGGGATGTGTCCGATGTGGGATCCAATACAAAAACCCGCACAGTGATCGTGTTTGCTGTTAATCTTGTTGTGTATCAAATAATAACAATAAGCATACTTTCAAAGCATTCTGTTTTCACTGATTTGTTTATTTATTTACTTCTCTATTTATGTGAGAAAATATTTTAGGTCTGGAAATTGAATAATCTGACAGAATATCTGAAGAATGATTGTACATTAGCAAACCTTATTCTTTATTCTATCATTTTTTAAACACATGGCCAGAGTCACAGATTCAATCAAGATTTAAATCATATTACATCTGTATTTTTATTTACCTATGTGATAATAACTTAGAAATAATAAAACTCTTTCCAGAATAGAGGGCAAGTATTACAATATTCTTTGGCATTTAACTTTTAGAGTTGAACTAATTCAATCTGCCTGTCTGCTGAATCAATGTTTCCCCTCTTGAGACTTGAACGTCCATATAACAAAGTGAGCCAGGCTTTAAGCTCTGGCTTGTAATTTTCTCCCAACTTCATTCTCATAGAATCATAGAATCATAGAATCATAGAATCATAGAATCATAGAATCATAGAATCAAAGAGTTGGAAGAGACCTCATGGGCCATCCAGTCCAACCCCCTGCCAAGAAGCAGGAATATTGCATTCAAATCACCCCTGACAAATGGCCATCCAGCCTCTGCTTAAAAGCTTCCAAAGAAGGAGCCTCCACCACACTCCGGGGCAGAGAGTTCCACTGCTGAACGGCTCTCACAGTCAGGAAGTTCTTCCTAATGTTCAGATGGAATCTCCTCTCTTGTAGTTTGAAGCCATTGTTCCGCGTCCTAGTCTCCAAGGAAGCAGAAAACAAGCTTGCTCCCTCCTCCCTGTGGCTTCCTCTCACATATTTATACATGGCTATCATATCTCCTCTCAGCCTTCTCCTTCTGGATTTGAGCATTATGTTTATTAACATATTACTTGCAACAGTTGCCAATAGAAGGCCTAAATTAAAAAAATACTGAAATGCACATTTACAGCTCATGTGAAAATTAGGTTTTTTTCTGGTAATCTGTAAGTAAAATGCTGTACAAAATTTCCATTGTTAACACATACAAGTAACATGGAAAAAAAGAATGCTCAAATTTAGCAGAAGAATAACAATAACAACCTGGTGAACAAAAGAAGACAGCTGATAAAGCTTGGCTAATCTTGTTATATGGAAATCAGATCGGAAGAAGAGGAAGATCAACTCAATAGAAAGGTAAATTACTTTTCACACTGTACAGCTGTACAATTAAAGATTGGAATAATTAAGTCTTCCAGCTTGTGGACTGGTTTGACAACAGAGTACATAACAGATTGGAGTGCAGTGTAGGGGAGATGAGGATAGTTGATGCATATATCTATGGTTACCTGTATGTTTGTATTTTATTTTAAGAGGACTAGATGTATGTTGTATGTTGTATGTTATGTCTGCATTGTTTGTTTTTGATAAGGCCAATTGGCTAATCAATAAAATTGTTGTTGTTGTAGAAAGGTAAATTACAAAATACATCCAAAAATTGTGTTTCTTCTTGCTGTACCTTTTAGAGCAGTGCTTCTCATGTGAGTAATATGGAAAACTGTGATTTTTTTTCCTTTTGATGTTTGGGGCACTCAGTGTTTGCCTAGTGATAACTCTACTTTGTTTCCTGGAGACATGCCTGCAGCCATTGGCTAGGGGAGAGTACTGGTCCTAGATTACAACTTTAGATAGTTCACTAGTTTGGTAAAACAGAGTCTTTGGATTATATGTAGTTTTGACAGAGTCCCAAGGCTGCCCCTAGAATCTTTAGTCATCCAATACTCCATCAGAAAAAAGATAGTAGTGCAAAACTTGTCAATTGTGCCATTGTGTTCTATTTACTAAAAACTTTACAGTTTTTGGAAAAGGTATTGGAAACAACTCTGTGATATTGAAACCATTTATTTGACATCTTCCATGCAGCCTGATGGATATCTTTATTTCTCAGGCTATAGATTATGGGATTTGTTACTGGTGGCAGAACAGTGTACAAGAGTGTAGACAACAAATCTACAGAAGCTGAGGACAAGGCCTGTGGTCTAAAGTATGAGAATACAGCAGTTGAAAGAAATAATGAGACGACAGTCAAGTGTGGAGTGCAGGTGGAGAAAGCTTTATGCTTGCCCTGGGATGACTGAATCTTGAATACTGTTGAGAAGATGAACCCATAAGATATTAATATTAAAGAAAGACAACAACTACCAGCAGTTAATACAACAGCAAGAACAAGCCATTCATTGAGCATTGTATCTGTGCATGAAATCCTCCATAATTGTGGAACATCACAGAAAAATTGTTGAACATGAGACGCGCAAAAATGTAACCTGAATGTTGATATAGTTTCCACTATTGCATAAACTATACCACTGATCCAAGAGGCAGCTGCCATTTGGAGACATGCATTCCCATTCATGATCCTCATATATTGTAACGGGAGGCAGATTGCCACATAGCGGTCATATGCCATAACAGTAAGAAAGAACAGCTCAGCACTTGAAAATGTGAAAACTAGGAGCACTTGGGAAACACATCCCAAGAAGGAAATTCGTCTGTCATTTGTCAGTGAGATAGCCATAGATTTTGGAACAGTTACAGAGATGTAGCAAGCATCTATCAATGATAAATTGGCTAGAAAGAAATACATGGGAGTATGCAGATTATGGTCATGGGCTATAGTTAGTATAACGAGAATGTTTCCCATCAATGCTACCAAATAAATGGACAGAAACACCAAAAAATGTAAAATCTGTTGTTCTCTGATTTCAGACAATGCCAACAGAATGAATTCATTCACCGTAGACTGGTTTTCCATTTTTTCCTTGCAGTAAATATTTTCTGCAAAGACAAAGAAATACACACACACACACACACACACACACACACACACACACACGCACACACACACATATATATATATATATATATGAATCCCTGGTGGTGCAGTGGATTAAAGCGCTTAACTGCTGAGATTGTTGACCGAAAGGTCATAGGTTCGAATCCGGGGAACGGCGTGAACTTCCACTGTCAGCTTCAGCTTCTGCCAACCTAGCAGTTCGAAAACATGCACATATGAGTAGATCAATAGTACTGCTCCGGCTGGAAGGTAACAATGCTCGATGCAGTCATGCGGGCCACATGACCTTGGAGGTATCTATGGACAACGACGGCTCTTTGGCTTAGAAATGCAGATGAGCACCACACCCCAGAGTCGGACACGACTGGACTTCATGTCAGGGGAAAACCTTTACCTTTACCTATACATATATATACCAAGCACAACAAAAAGTCATTCTCAATTTTGACCTAAATCTGTAAAAAACAAACAAACAAATAACAAAAAACAAAAACAGAATGTGTTTTGATGTTTTCTGCCTTTTGAAGGACAGATCATGTAAGATGTTACTAGGCAGATCTTATTAATCAAGGGATGCACCTCAATGGTGTTGCTTATCTCTTGTAAAGAGAACTAGGGGCCCGTCCAGTCAGTACCTTTATCCCAGGAGCTTCCACAGCAAACAGGATGGTGGCCAGATGCCATTTTCAGTAAACACAGAAGCAATCACTACAAAAGGCAAAGAACATAAGATTTCCAAGTGCAGGAATATCATGGTTTCGAGCCAAATATGTGGATCTTCGCATGTCTGTATGTCCCTGCAATTGGAAATCATGGGACTTTTTTTTATCTGGGTTTGTTCCTGAGTTTTAGATGTTTGTTCCTGATTGGTAGGTTCCTAAAAAAGGTAACTGTTGAGTAGAATGCAAAAAAATTGTTTGTGTGCCAGAAACTTCATGAAATGTGTGGCAGTTACATTTTCTCTGGCCAGGACAAGATTGTGCCCCCCTAGTCAACATTGTACAACTTTTCACAGTAAGAGCAATCAGGAACAGACATGCATAATCCAGGAACAACAATCTGTTGTTCCACTACACAAGTACACATCCAAAATTTTCTTAGAGCCAGGCAGGCAGGCTCTAAAAAGTGTCAATAATGACAAAGTTATCTTCCTGGCTTGAAAGTGTGTGTTCTTGTTAGATAGTGTAGTACTGACTTGGGAAGAAGTAGTCCTACTCCATTAGGTTTGTTTGTGTGGCAGATACTTCATGAAACATCTGGAGGGCACAGTTTCTCTGGCCAAGGCAAAGAACAGAACTTCTTCATATCCATGTCACTGCATATTCACATATTGGCCATATCTGCAACTTGGGGTTTTTTTTAATATAAAGCCTGCTGAACTTTCCAGCAGAAGTCTTGTGGTGGCCATCTTGGGAGCCTCTAAATATCACAACAAAGCATCAAGTCTGGACAATAGAAGCAGTATGTGGACTTCTGAAGTCCTGGGATTTTTTAAAACCCTTTTTAACACCCGTGATTTAGTGCTGTCTAGATGTGCCCTAGGAGTAGCATTTTATGATTCAACGCTTGACTACATGCTAATCTAATTGCAATATCATTTCGCTTAAACTTGTATTGTAGAAAAGAAAAGGTTGAAGGATTATATGTATAAAGTGTTTCAAGATGATTCGGGAAATACTATATTTTTTGGATGTGAAGAAATTGAAATTTCCCATGCCCTAGAAAAGGATGTTTCTCTTTTAGAATATTATGAAAAAGATTTCACAAAATATTTCACCCTCTATGCGTTTATGTGGGTAGATGGGAAGAATGACATTTGATGCAGTTGCTACAATATTCAGAATGAGAGCCGTGAGGATGTTATTAAATGAGTGTTCTTAGATCAGTCATGATAGAATGACATTGCTTAACCACAGAAGGCCACTTCTTAGGGCAATAGGTGTTTAGCTTGTTACCCATCACTTCTTGTTACCCATCACCCCTCCCTTTGATGGACTGTCACCTTGTCGTGGTGAGGGGGCTTGCGTGTTCCAATGAACCTGCGAGCACAATCAGTCGTGCACTTTCAGGAGTGGCCACGGGGGAGGTTCCAGACCAAGTACATTCTGAAGACCCAAAGGCCTCAATGGCGGAGCAGGTAGAAGATAACATGGTACA